AGATTGAGGCCCTGGGAAAGGAAGGTGGACCCATTTAGAGATGGGGAATTCAGTGGGGTTCTGTGGCTCACGCTTGTGATCCCAGCACTTTGGGAGGTTGAGGTGGGAGGACTGCTTGAGCGCAGGGCTTTGTGACCAGCCTGGGCAACAGAATAAGACCCTGTCTCAAAAAAAATAAAAATAAAAAAGAAAGAAAAGTGGGGGATTTGGGAAGGAAGCTGAGCTTACTCAAGATGGTGCATATAAGCTAAAGACGGGAGTAGCTGGAAGACACGAGCTAAGAGTTGGGGACGGTGCTCCGAAGGTGTGGCTGGAGTTTGCATCTGTGATGGCAGTGAGTCCCCTGAAGGGGAATGGCATGAAACAGGGGGCCAAGACCTTAAAACCTGGCCACTGTCAAGGCTCAGAAGGAAAGGGGAGCTGGTGAAGGGGACCAAGAGGTCCCCGAGCCAGTAAAGCAAGAAGGTGTTGAAGGGGTTAGGGGAGAATCCCGGGGTAGAGGAGGACTCACCCACAGATGCCCTCCACTTACCATGGGCTACATCCCAATAACCCCACTGTAAGCAGACAAGTTGTTAAGTCACAACCGCATGTAACACACCTAACCTGCCCTGTGTCATAGCTTAGCCCACCTTAAACGTGCTCAGGCCACTTACATGAGCCTGCAGTCGCAGCATCACATAGCCGAGGTCGATTTTACAAGGAAGTATTGACTAGCTCATGTGATTCAGCGTATCTGTTTCTACTGAAGGTGAAAACGCTGGCTGTGTGGGTGCACGGACCGCGTCTTACTTCTGCACCACCATAAAGTAGAAAAATCGTTAGGCAGAACCATCGTTCGCTGGGACCATCGGCACGCAGAGAATGAAGGCTGTGAGCTGAGTTCCAGGAAAGTGTTTGAGACGGAAGCTGACTTGCTAAGTGGGAAGGCACGCGAGGATGGGGGCCGTGAACTCTCTGCAAAGTGGTAACAAAGTCGACAGGCTGCGGGGGCAGTGGGATCAGGAAAAGCAGGGGGACCCCTGTTCACTTCTGCAAGTGGAGGGCGCAGGTGGGGCAAAGGACAGCCCCAGGGCTGGACAGCTCGGTAGAGTGGCATAGCAAGTTATGAGCCGGGTACTGAGTGGCAGGTACCCATGTGGCAGAGCTTCTGCCACTCCTCCTCCATGGCAGGAGTAAGCCAGTGATTGAAACTCTCCAGATCTCAGTATCCCATCTACAAACAGAGGGACTGTGACAAAGCCCCCAACAAGTGAACAAACATGCCACCCAATCCTGATGCTCCAATTCCAACCTCCATGCTCCAGTCCCACTGCAGTGGTACCCAGCAAATGTCCATACACTGATCACTATGGAGGGAGGGCGGGAGGGACGGTCCTGAAGCAGCCAGGGTCCCCGGCCCGGCACTTCCTTCTCTGTTGATGGGCCCTGGAGTGGCTGCTGGAGCCAGAGGCAGCAGGAGTACTTGTCATTTGTTTCAAGTCCTGAAAAGGTGGGGGAGCACTGCCTACATGGTCATGGGGGGGTCTCAAGTACAAGATCTGGGGCTTTGGGGAGGACCAGGTCCTTTCAAGTGCTGCCTGCCTCCCTCTAACCAAGCCCCTCCTGCACTCCATTACACCATTTTGTTCTTAAAACACGGGTGCCTTGCACCAGGGGTTACTCAGAGGCCCCTCAGATGTTCTTTCCAAAGGCCACGAGGCCTCAGCTCCACTGTGCCCCACAGGCTGACGGGTCCAGCATCTGAAATCCAAAATCCAAAACATTTTGAACGCTGACACGACACTCAAAGGAACTGCTCACTGACACACTCTGGATTTGGGATTTTCCGATTAGGGAGGCTGAACTGGTATGTATACCACACACATATTCCAAAATCCAAAACACTTCTGGGCCCAGGCGTTTCAGGTAAGGGTTACTCAACCTGTATTTGCACAGAATTTGGGAGACAGTTCAGGCGCTGCTGTTGAAGGGATGGCCACCTGCAAGTGAAACGGGCTCTTCCCTGCACTCGGTGACAGTCCCAAGCCTCCCTTCCCTCTAAGGACAGAGAAACAATCAGCAGCGTGGGTCAAGGAGGCAGCAGCTTCCAGACAGACACCTGCAAAACCCTGAGATCTTCTGTGATGTTTGGTGGGGTGAGAACCTCTGTACTTAATGTCAGTTCTACAAGCTAAACATCAAAAATGGTAATACCACAACGCACATCCTGGGCAAATACGAGACGGTGGAGGCCCTGGCGTGCAGTGCCCTCTTGCTGCCATGGAGACGTGGGAGACAGAGCCTTATGCCACCTGTTTAACTGAAGAGTCTCTACCACTTGAAGAAGCGCTGTTTCAAACAAAACAAAACCGATACTATTTGCAAATTCTTGGCTGGATTAAATCAAGAGTTCTCTGTTCTGTGCAACCAAGCAAAACACACAAGTAAACTGGATGCTGAGGTTGACATACATACATTTTCATCCACAACCTTGGTTTGAAATGCTTCCTATTTACTGGAATTGTTTCAATGCTTTTACTGATTTCCTTTGAAAAACATTTGATCTCATAACATATAAAGTACTTCCATCTGTTTTGTATAGTGGGACTCCAGTATAAATTTCTGTCCCATACATTTGGAAACCACTGGTGAAGTAAAAGGGCATGGTTGCTGGGATGAACGCTGGAGCCAAATTCCGGCTGGCCCCATCCATACCGGCCGTTATTTCCCTGGGCCCATCCCTCACCCCCCTCAGCCTCCCAGTCCCATCCACTAAATAGAACTAAACTGAGCAGGGATTTGCTCTGATGAGACATCAGCACGCAGTTACCTTCCCACCCCCACCAACATGTACAGACTGCACCCAATCACCCAGACTCTCTCGTGACCAAAGGTGTTATATGCAGGCCAGACGGCCGCCGGGCTGTGCCGCCAAGGCCCAAGGCTGCCCTGTGACCTTCCTCCCTTCAGCACCTCCTCAATCTCTGAGCTAGCCAGCTCCTGAAGGGCAGTGTGAGACTGTGACAGGCACAGGTATGAGGCTGTGGGGGGACTCTGTGTGAGTAAACTGAGGCTTCTCTACACAGCAGTTGGTATTTTTCCCATTTGCCTGCCTCTTCAGTGGCTGCTCCGGTTGGTCCATGCAGTGCTTGACTTTGCGAAGTACCCTGTGGAATGCTGTCTCTTTGGTGGCCAAGACTGGCCTTCATTTTCCGTCAGCACAAAGCACACACATGGAAGCTGTGAGGATTTCTTGCCCCCGTTTTACTCGAGACCCCTGAACGCGGCAGCCCACTCTGCAAATACCTTTGTTGGCCATGGGGGTAGAGGGAAGTTTGTTGAGAAGCGGTTCTTAGTTTCTCACTTGTTGAAAAATTACCCAAAACAGGAGGCAACACAGTCATGTGAATTCCATGTGATGGCTCAGCAGACACTCACAGAGCCTCGGTGAAGTGGGAGGGTTCCCAGGGGCGAGGCACTGGCTAACATCTTGTATTGCCCCAGGTCCTCTGAGTCAACACCCCAAAGGGGACTGAGAGAGCCAGAGATCACAGGGATTGGCTGGCCTTGGGAAACGTCCAACCGCCCTTGAAACATTGCAAAGTAACCCCATCAGCCTGTGAGGCTCAGGCTTCCCAGTTATAACTGCCCGTCCCAAGTGAATCTTGCTTAGTTTTTTGGGCATCATAGCAAAAAAAAAAAAGGCAAGAATAAGTAAAAGAAAAGGCAGGCAGGCAAGAATGTTTGTCCCTGTAGGGAGAAGAGCCTGGTCTGTGGACACCAGACACCATACCCAAAGACGTTTCTGGCATGGAGCCTTCGGCAACCCTTACAGTTTTCATTCAGAGGAAACGTGTCCTATTTTCCACAACCGGCAGCCTCGCCACCAGCCCCAGGAGGGAGGAAGCTCTCTCCAGCATCTGCAGGTTTATCCCGAAACAGCAGCTGCCAGGGGAAGGGAATAGGGCTCCGTCTTTTAAAACTCTCGTGTAAGCTGAGTATTGCAGTCATGACCTAAAAAGGCAAAGACCAGATACGCTGAGCCTGCTGTGGAAGCAGCCTGCACACGGCCAGAGTATGTCACCACTCAGCCATGTTTAGCACAGCCAGGCCAGTCGGGGTGGCCACAGGCTCCCGCAAGTGGCCATGAACACACTTCACATTGCCCGGGGCCCGCAGAGCAAATGCATATAACCTGGTCTTGTGTTGCCTGCACAGCCAACGTCCATGAAAATCCCCTTCACCAGTACTGACAACTGACGCCCGCCCAGCATCTCGGTGCCAGCCCAGATCCAGACCTGCAGATCAGGTCTTCTGCAGAGGCCTTCAATCCCAGGCTGCTTTCACTGCAAACGGACACAGCCCTTACGTAACATGGATCCACGCTTCGCCGGCCTCTTCCCACCTGTTGATGCAGGTGAGAAAGGGAGCTGGCAGGCAACGCCCTTCCAGGTGGGCTACAGGGAGTGTTTCCTTTCTCATTAGGTGGAGCCCTTGGCTTTCCTAATAAAGTGGGACCTGTTGAAAACGTAACAGAAACAAGGGAACGATCCTGAAGCCAGAGTGATGGAAGTGCCACAGCGGATCTTCCACTGCTGAAGGGAACTTCGGAATTCCCAAAGAGTGTTCACTGCAAAACGCCCATCCAGCTATGAAGGAAACGGGACTGACCACGTGCAGGAGAGACATCGCTCAGCAGTCACTGGAAAAGCAGGCTGTGGTTGCAACGGTAAGGATGGAGAAGGGAACGGTAAGAGGACAGAAATTCACAGTGCGAGAAGGGTTCCAGGTCAGCAGCAGACCCTACACACCCAGGGGCTTCACCACGACTGGACAGGCAGGCCAGGGCTGGGCCAGCCACGTTTCGCTCCGGCATGTCGCTCCCTCAGACTGTCCGGGAAGGGGCACCTCCTCCAGGGAGAAGGACAGCTTCTGGGGGGCCAGGGTCACGGGCTCGCTAATTCTTTCCTAGAGTCTGCTCTGTTTTCTGTCAGCAGTAAGGAAATACATCGAGCAAATGATATCCAGTCAGACTTTAATTAACTGCAGCCTTCTGCACTCCACCACGCAAGGAGAAATCACTTCCAGATGGGGAAAATGAAAGCTATTTACATAAAAAAGCAATCCCTTTATTTTAAGGAAATTTATCTCTCCCAAAGGTGTAGAACTCTGAGGGTCCAAGAGGCTATTCTAGGAATTCTTATTTAACAGATAAAATGCAACCGTACTCTTCATGTAGGCCAGCGTTTCCCATGTCCATGTTTCTAAGATTTTATTTTTAGGAATCTGACTTGGAGTAGACAAGTGTGGAACACTTGCCGTCACCCTCAAGCAGGCAGGTTATTCCGAGTGCTCTTCAGCATTTCCCCTGACCTTCTGCAAACAGGGAACCAGGTCTCCTCATCCGATGGCAGTTCAGGAAGGCTCGGTGTGCCGTCCCCCGCTCCAGGCAGTAGCCTCAGATCCGCCCCCATCACTCTGCGTGCCCCGTAACCGTCTCGCTGGTCTCGGCTTGTCTGCTCGGAGGAGCAACCCTAGACATGAGAAACCAGGCACGCTTCTTGGGGTGGGCAGCGTCCTTGGTGCTGGTTCTTTGTTCCGGAGAGAGGCAGGAGTGACGGTAGTTAGCGCCGACCCTGAGCTGTATTTGAAGACTGGAACACCTTGACCACCGCAGCTCCACACAGAATGTTCTCCAGCCTGCGCACCTCTCACCCAGCTATCAGAGAGGTCTCCGTAAGAGGAGCACAGTGAATGCTTTACTGACAATACAGATGACCAAAGTGACTTGAAAGTTGCTTGTTTTTTCGTTCTTAAAGGGGCTAGAGAAAAGGGACTGAGGGGAAGGAATGGGCACATCTTGGCTTGGCTGAATCACAGAGCCGTTAGCTGCTGCTTTTATCCAGGGGTGCTCCTTTTACTTTATGATTAGTATTTACTATGATTTTTTGAGATGGAGTCTTGCTCTGTCACCCAGGCTGGAGTAGAATGGCACGATCTCAGCTCACTGCAACTTCTGCCTCCCGGGTTCAGGTGATTCACCTGCCTCAGCCTCCCAAGCAGCTGGGACTACAGGCACCCGCCACCACACCCAGCCAATTTTTGTATTTTTAGTAGAGATGGGGTTTCACCAGGTTGGCCAGGCTGGTCTCTAACTCTTGACCTCGTGATCCACCCACCTTGGCCTCCTAAAGTGCTGGGATGACAGGCGTGAGCCACCGTGCCCGCCGCATTTGTACTTTTTTAAAGGCCCAGGGTGGTTCTGATGCGCACCCCCAGTAGGGAATGCAGCATCTTCACACAGCCCTCCATCCTGTCAAGGAGACATTTAACATAACTCCTACCGACATCTGTGGGCTCCCTGGGGATTACTGACAATGCCATAAATCAAGAAAGCAGCTTCCCTGCCTGTGACCACCAACAGTGAAACACAGCAGCTTGACATCTCCATGCTATGACAGGCCTTCCGGAAAACGACTCCTCACCAACCAGCCAAAAAGAGGAGTAGGGATCTGTGAACACATACCAGGAGTGACAAGAACCAGGTGCAGCAGTCCCTGGCTTCCCAGCACTCCCAGGTCGAGGACAGACAGCTGAACCGGCTGTGCCATCTAGAGATGGGCCCACTGCCCCTTTTCAACTATACAGCTCAGGCTGACAACCTCACCAGAGCAACCCCAGGGGCTGGGGGGCATCTACTGGGCTTCCAGGGGCTCTCCCAACCCCCTCCCTGCCCTTCCTGGGCTCCCAGGGAGCTCTCCTGACCCCCTCCCCGCTTTTCCTGGGCTTCTGGGGGCTCTCCCGACCCCCTCCCTGTCTTTCCTGGGCTCCCAGGGAGCTCTCCCGAACCCCTCCCCACTCTTCCTTCACTTCCGGGGGCTCTCCCGACCGCCTCCCTGTCTTTCCTGGGCTCCTGGGGAGCTCTCCTGACCCCCTCCCTGCCCTTGTCTTCTTTGGAATCTTCCTAATAGACCTTAGCTAAAGGCCACACCTCATCAACCACTCATTGTCTTCTCCTTGTTCTCGAATTTGAAACACTTGATGCACGAGTCATACCGACTAGCAGGGAAGCCTGGAAGCTGAGGAAGAAATGAGGCTCAGGATCAGAGCTGGACAGCGTCAGGAGAAACGCCGGCAGAGACGCAGGGCCCAAAGCAGGCAGTCATATCAGGAACCAAGGTGGGAATGAGGAAATCAGGTTTCCAGGCCGGTTTCCAAACCTTAACGTTTCCTGCTGTACGGCTGTTACAAGTTTTATGGATTCTCAGGAAATTCCCTCTCCTGAAAACTTTTTGAGACAGAGTCTCGCTCTGTTGCCCAGGCTGGAGTGCAGTGGTGTGATCTCGGCTCACTGCAACCTCCACCTCCCAGATTCAAGCGATTCTCCTGCCTCAGCCTCCCCAGCAGTTGAGATTACAGGTATGCGCCACCACACCTGACTAATTTTTGTCTTTTTAGTAGGGACGAGGTTTCACCCTGTTGGCCAGGCTGGTCTCAAACTCCTGACCTCAGGTGATCCACCCGCCTCAACCTCCAAAGTGCTGGGATTCCAGGCGTGGGCCACTGTGTCTGGCCGATTTTTTATATTTTTGGTTTCACCATGTTGCCCAGGCTGGTCTCAAACTCCTGAGCTCAAGCAATCTGTCCACCTCAGCCTCCCAAGCAGTTGAGACTACAGGTGTATGCCACCACGCCTTACAAATTTTTATTTTTGTAGACATCTCTATGTTGCCCAGGCTGGTCTCGAACTCCCTGGCTCAAGCGATCCTCCTGCCTTGGCCTCCCAAAGTATTGGGGCTACAGGTGCGAGCTGCTGTGCCTGGCAAGGTACCATTCTTGAACAGAAGTGGCAGGAACAACAGCGGTTTGGCTGTAGCTGTGGTTATGGCTAACTGAGGCGTGGTTTTAGGGGAGCCGAGGGCATCAGGGGCTGCCTGCTCTCCGGATGCAGGAGGGCGCCAGAGGCCAGAAGACCTGCCACAGAGAGCCCAGGGGGTGAGGAAGGGCAGACAGGGGCAGCTGCCTTCCAGGCCAGGCCAGGCTCTCAGGCTAGTGTGTAAGGTCAACATTCTGTTCCTGAGGCATCCCGAGCCCCTGGCTCCTTCTCATCACACAGGAACAGGTCACTGGGACACTGCACACCACCCTTATTACTTCAGATGACACTGGAAAGTACTGTGGACCTGAAGATGAGCGGGCAGAAAGGGACTCGAGGGTACGGGCTTCCTGGGTGTTCCCATGGCTTCATCTGATGAGAAAGCCTAGGAAACGTTTTCCAAGTAAACTTCCTGGTCTCCCTTCCTTAAAAGCCAGGAGCAGAGTGGGAGTAAAGAAATGAAGGAAAGGGCCGGGTGCGGTGGCTCACACCTGTAATCCCAGCACTTTGGGAGCCTGAGAAGGGTGGGCTACTTGAGGCCAGGAGTTCAAAACTGGCCTGGCCAACATGGTGAAACCCCATCTCTACTAAAAATACAAAAAATTAGCCAGGTGTGGTGGCGGGTGCCTGTAGTCCCAGCAACTCGGGAGCCTGAGGCAGGAGAATCACTTGAGCCTGGGGAGGCAGAGGTTGTAGTGAGCTGAGATCACGCCACTGCACTCCAGCCTGGGTGACGGAGTAAGACTGCATCTCAAAAAAACAAAAACAAACAAAAAAAAACAAAGAAACAAATGGAGGAAGAATCTGCTCACACAACCTGGCAGGTATGCCAGACTGAGCCATCTGTCAGATCTGGGTCTGCCCATAACCTGGTCAGGAGCCCCAGGGCAGACAGGACACCGGCTTGAAGGCCTGGCGCATGTGACCTTCTCAGTAACAGACACAGAGGACACCTCTCCTTTGGAGATGACTGAGAAATGGGGGAACACAGGGATAACTTAGTCAAGTAAGGTCATAACAAGTACCAGAAACAAAATATGGGCCAGGAAACTGGGATTTCCATGGGAATATGCCTGCTTCCACTGCCTCCATAAAGAACCTGTAATCTGCCACTCTGGCCGTAGGGACAAACCCAGAGATAGGAGAGGAAACTCAGCTCTGGCTGAAGGGGAAACCTCAAACAGCCATGGAAGAAGGGAAGGAGGGAGGGAGAGAAGGAGAGGAGGGGAGGAAGGAGGGAGAAGAGGAGGGAGGGAGAGGAGGAGGGGGGAGGGAGGGAGAAGGAGAGGAAGAGGAGGAGGGAGGGAGGGACGGGGAGGAGGGAGGGAGGGACGGAGAGGAGGGGAGACGGGGGAGAGGAGGAGAGGGGAAGTGAGGGAGAGGGAGAGGAAGAGGAGGAGGGAGGGAGGGAGAGAGGAGAGGGGAAGCGAGGGAGAGGAAGAGGAGGGAGGGAGGGAGGGAGAGACGGAGAGGAGGGGGGAGGGAGGGAGAGGAGGAGAGGGGAAGCGAGGGAGAGGAAGAGGAAGAGGAGGAGGGAGGGAGGGAGGGAGAGAGAGGAAGAGGGAGGGAGGAAGAGGAGGGAGGGAGGGAAGGAGGGAGGGGTGAGATCCAGGCTTCCTCATTCAAGTTGCCTGGATGGGGAGGTGCACGGTGGACCCAGTGTCAGAGGGTGTGACAGCCCTGCTGACGCTACATGAGTCAACGGCAATTCTGCTAGTCAGGGGCAGCTCAGGGACGGCAAGTGAACCCCAGGGACCTTCCCCTGCTGCTGCCTCTGCTTCGGAAACCAGAGATCATCTAAATGGCCTTCTCAGAACCCAGCCCTTACTCAGCATCTCTGATGAGGGCAGGAAGTAAGACAGGGCATGGGAGAGACTCAGTAACAACCCAGATGTTCCAGAAAGCCTGGAGACTGATGATGTGAGTGTCCTGGGGAGCACAGGAGACGTCAGGGGCTTTTGGGGAACGTGGTGCTAAGGGGCTGGCCTGGAGCAAAGTGCCTGTTGCTGCTGCTACAGTCTCTTTTTAATGAGTTTCTCAAGTTTGCGGATGCGAGACGACTCCTGCTCTGGCGTTGGCGCCATCAGGGACAGGGAGCCGGTGCTTTCCGCCCCGGAGGGCGGTGCAGGGAGCCGCTGGCGCAGGAGTTCCAGCATGCTGCTCTGCTCGCTCCTCTTCAGCCCCTGGGGTTGAGAGAGAAGGAGAACCGTCAGGAAGGCTGGGCCAGAGAACGCAGCATTGGGTATGGGGGTCAGTGGAGACTCTGCAGACAGCAGAGTCACTCCAGGCTGAGGATGACTGCTTTCCTCAGAGAATTAATCGCCAGCCCTGGGTAGTGGCCTGGGAGGAAAACAGAGGGGAAGAAAGGGCCATGGAAGATAAAGAGGCGCTGAGAGAGAAGGGCAGGTCCAGGAGGTAGGGGAGGAAACCCTCCTGTCCTCATCCTCTGCCCTCCTCCCCTGTGCAGGGGCCTATCAATCCTCGAGAGCACACGCCCACAACCACCTCCTCCAAAGGCTTCTCCGAATCCGGTTAGCTCCGTGGAGCCAGGCAAAGCATTTTGAGAAAACCCCCCAAGAACCTATAGCCCACCCCAGTTAAGAACCAAGTGTGAGGAGGACGGCAAGCATGGGCAAATGCGGAGCCTGCACTCACCTTCATGTCCAGGATCTTCTGGAAGGTTTCCGTGTTGCAGTCTGTGAGGAGTTTGATGTAGTTGTCGACGAACACCACCAGCGGCTCATGAGGGGCCATCACCACCTGCCAGGAAGATGGGCAGGCCCGTGAGGCAAGCTCACCGCAGCGCAGGGCTCGCCCTCACTGCCTGCTGAGCGCAAAATGCAGCCTGTGAGGTCTCCTTCTCATCTTCACACTCAACTAGAGCAGCGTGTCCTCAATTTGCTGAATCCCAAGTATCACCTGCATGGCTTTGTAAAGCACGGGTTCCCGAGCCCTTCCTTTAAATAGTCTAATTTAGCCCTGGTGGGGTCCCAGGTGACTGTCAAAACATCAGGACCCTTTGGGAAACACTGCGTGAGAGGGTCTTCTATTAGACGTTTCACAGGTACACGGTACCCACTCCTTCTGCCCCGAAGTACTATTACTTCTGAGAAATGGGTGGCAAAAGGCACTGGTGTAAGTGGATTTCTGCAAAAACAAAAATGCCAAAGCTGCCTCACTTTTCTGAAGACTTAAAATCTGGACTTCGTGTAACTACTAACTGAAAGTATCAGTTAACACACAAAGGAAAGGAAGGGCATGGCAATCCTCACACTCATTTCCATTTGGCTCTGGAATGCAGTATCTGACTTTCTTCCTGCATTCCCCAGACTGCCCCAAAGCGTGGCCAGTGGTTCACTCAGGAATCCTCTGCAGAGAACTCCCGGACCGCACGCTCTCCTCCACAGCCAATAACCAGCAGTGGAGGGAAATGAACAGGCTGCTTCCCATGTCCTCAGGCCACAGCTCCAGGTTCAGGCAGGATCCTCACCCGTCCCAGGTGTCTGAGGCCCTGCTGCTGCTTCCTACTCCTGCTGTCTCTGAGTCATCTGGCTTAGGAACAGATGACTGAAGAGCCTAGAGGCCCTGGGTTTTTCAGACACATCATGACAGGACCATTTGTTCTCCAGCCCTCATCCCCGCTCTCCCAAATGGTGGAAATCAGAGGCAGATGCTCAGGGTTCAGACGTTCAGCACCCGAAGTACAATCCTTTGTTCAATGGGGCTTTAACAAATCCATCTGCCAATGAGATTCAGTTACTACGACATCTGTTCAGAGTTCATGTAAAGTGGAGACAGAGCACAGAAAGCCAAGAAGGCTGATGTGGAAGGGAGTAACTGAGACCCGGGCCTGGAATTCCTGCTGAGCAGCAGAGATACCTGACGTGACTGACTCACAGCGACAACGCCACCGAACTTCCAAGCTTGGCCACATCCGATTATAAGAGAATCCCATGACAACAAAAAATTCATTTGTCAGGAGGAATTACTGACCCCCAGTAACTACCCACAGACTTTCAACATCTGATGAGGCCAAAAATTCAGTCCAGCCCAAGAATGTGGACATGCTTTGAGAGCGCTGGGGACAAGACCTACCCTGTGCCTTCAAAACCAAAGCTTCTTGGAAACAGAGATGAAATAAACAACCGACCCCTTTATACAGAATCCCCGAGAAAGGCACAAGCCATCACCTTGAGGATCATCTCCGCCCGGGTCATGCCTTTGACAACGATCTTAGTGTAGCTGGCGGGCGCCTTCCTCACCACCTGCGAGCCGATGGAGGGGAGATCAAGCAGGACCATCTTCAGGGAGTGGGTGTCCAGCAGCAGCTGTGGAGCAAGGCAGAGTGTGACCAGTCCCTTCCAGCCACCCAGCACCGAGCGGACCCATGCCCAGGGGTAACATTTTTCTGATTATGTGCATAATACATTCTTGTTGCAGAAAACTTGGGAAATAAACAGAAATATAAAAGAAAAAAGTTATGTATAATTCCCACCACCTACGAAAAACATCAAGAAGCCAGCTTATGTGTATGTAAGTAAAAAATACATACAATAACCTGGTGGCCAGGAGCAGTGGCTCACACCTGTGATCCCAGCACTTTAGGAGGCCCAGGCAGCAGGCTCTGTAGGGCTCAGGGGTTTGAGGCCACCCTGGGCAACATGGAAAAACACAGAAGGCATCCAGGCGTGGTGGTGCACACCTGTAGTCTCAGCTACTGGGGTGGACTGAGGTGGGAGGGTCACTTAAGCCTGGGAGGCTGAGGCTGCAGTGAGTCAAGATGGTGCCACTGCACTCTCCAGCCTGGGTGACAGAGTGAGACCCTGTCTCAAAAACAAACCACAACCCCCGCCACGAAACTAAGTCAGAATTATACTGTATGTATACATAATTTTATAAGCTGGTTTTCTCACTATGTAAAATTTGTGTATTGTGTTTTCCCATCTCTGCAGTCATGATTTTTAGCTGCACTCTAACGTGGGCCACATGGCAAGACCCTATCCTCTAAAGCAGCAGCATCGTGACTTCTAAAGGCCCTGCAGTACTCTGTGATGTGTGGCCGCGTAAATGTCAGGATCTTTCCAACCGAATGGACCCATGTACGCCTCTGCCAGCAGCGCAGACTGCACCCTTATTGACACTGAAAACTCCTAAAATCCTGCTTTTCGTTAGGCAAAAAACAGTAACTCATTATTGTTGTTTTTAATTCCTCTGGATGTTAGTGAGGATGTGGATTTACCCAAATGTAAACATTGTATCTTGGCAACAATCTACCTTTTCCTCTTTCTTTGTTCTTGTTCTCTGGGATGCCAATCATCTAGGACACCTGCAGTCCCGATGGCCCAGCACCTGCTGGGAATGACCTGAGGAAGCTTTGTCACATTCGGTCTGCATAAGGCCCTATTTGCTCTGGGGGTTATCGTTCCCATTGTACAGATGAGAAAAAGTTCCAGAAAAAGTTTACCAGCTCGCTAAACTCATCTCATGCAATGGGGCGGGGTTAGACAAAAGGTGGCCAGGAAGCTGAAGTCCCATTTCTGACTGCCCAGGTCAATGTCCCTGGGTGGTTTTGGCTCAGGGCTCACACTGGCCCCTGCTGCCGCTGCTCTTGGCAACCAGGGAGCAGAGAAATGGCTGAAGCCAGACGAGTGTACTCTGGCCTGCTGAGATGGCTTGGAGAATGGAACCACATGGCCACCACGAAGACAAGGGCAGGAGTGGGGCGACAGCCCCCAGTGCCCCAACTAGACTCGGTTGATGATGGTCAGACTCTTGTTCAGGACAAGGCCTGCTCCGTCTGCCACTGCCTGCTTCCTCTGGAAAGCCTTCTGTAATTCCATCAAGCAGGTGAGAAATGGGATCCCTTCAGGCCCAGCCTCACTTTGCATCCTCCAATTTCCCATTTACTTTGCTTTGGACAGAAGAATTAATGACTAGAGATTAACTACGTAAGGAGAGACACTATTAACTTAGGGGTTATGGCGATTATAATTTTGACAACAGTAGTAGTGTGTGGGGAGATGTCAGTGTTTTATTTGGAATAATTCAGATGTAAGAAATGACACTAAGGTCAGAGTAGTTTCCTGTGTTTCTGTAGCTAGTCAAAGGCCTACGTGTGCAGCTTGCTCTACTGTAGCCAGCAAAGTGCCAGGGCATTCTGGACCTTTCTAGATTTCCAGAAATGAACATTCTTCCACTCTGCTCAGAGGAAAGCGTACACAAGCCTCCTGGAGAGGGAATGGCACAGGCGGCCCAAGGCCCGCAGGAAGAGCCTGGCACTGGCACACTTCCCAGAGCTCTGGTGGAAGTGACTGCTGCTCTTCCTCAGAGGAACCCAGCATGAGCCCCTCAAGAACACACATGGTCAGCCGGGCGCGGTAGCTCACGCCTGTCATCCCAGCAGTTTGGGAGGCCGAGGTGGGCAGATCACGAGTTCAGGAGACCGAGACCATCCTGGCCAACATGGTGAAACCCCGTGTATACTAAAAACACAAAAAATTAGCTGGGTGTGGTGGTGCACATCCTGTAGTCCCAGCTACGAGGGAGGCTGAGGCAGGAGAATTGCTTGCACCCAGGAGGCGGAGACTGCAATGAGCCCAAGATCACACCAGTGCACTACAGCCTGGCTAGAGCACACTACACTTTTTGCGAGACTCCGTCTCAAAAAAAAGAAAAAAGAATACACATGCCTGATTCCAGGTGGATTAAACTCTTCAATATAAAAAGAAAAATGTTAATACAGACCGGGCATGGTAGCTCGTGCCTATAATCCCAACACTTTGGGAGGCTGAGAGGTGGGTGGAGAGACCAGCCTGGCTAACATGGTGAGATCCCCATCTCTACTAAAAATATAAAAATTAGCTGGGTGTGGTGCTGCACACCTGTAATCCCAGCTACTTAGGAGGCTGAGGCACAAGAATCGCTTCAACCCAGGAGGTGGAGGTTGCAGTGAGCCCTGATCGTGCCATTGTACTCCAGACTGGGCAACAGAGTGAGACACTGTCTTAAAATTTAAAAAAAGATGTACAGCAAAGGTGTAAACATGTTACATATTTTGCTGAGCTGAGTGGTTAGCTAGTGTTCTATACATTATTTTCTGTACATTGATTAACTGGAATTTTTGTTTAAAGAATACCATTTGAAGCCTGACAAGGACTCAACTCTGTCTTCCATGTAACAGATTTTGAGAGCCTTGTCAAAATCAAAGCCATGTCTTAGCATTCATTTGCTGGTAGGAAAAAGAAAATCAGTCATTATATTTTAAAGCATATGGAGCTATTTCCTACTTTTTCTACTTCCCAGAGATATGCTATGTGCATAAATAATTGTATAATCTGAAGTGACAGGAGAGGTTTGAATGAACCAGACCTAATTCTCTAGTGTCCCTCACATACAGGGAGATACGACACTTGCATTCCCTGGCCAGTCACCATAAAATTCTGTCTTTACCAGACAGCTGAGAGTGAAAACCTGGATCTCAGGTTTTACGTCGAGCAATGCGGTCTAAAAAGGCAGGAACACGTCTGACAGATTTGGCAGCTGTCTGTGGGAAGTGAAGGTAGAAAGGTTCCACATATCATGAAGATCTGCTAGTCCTCATCTTTGAAACAGTTGGTAATTCATCTTCCTAGGCATGAGACATTGGGCAAGAGGTGGCTATTGCCAACTTCGTTTCTGCCTCAGCGATAATTTCTGGAGGATGTGGGCTGGCTAAGGCAGTTGAAGGGATGGGGGTGCCAGCATGGCCAGTATGCTATGCCTGTGAATGCTCGTCACTCAGCAATGGAAATCTCTGAGGGGCCCTCTACTTCCTGAAGAGCCTCCCACAATTCTTGGGGACATGATGACTATCGGTAGTGATGAAAATTCTGAATAAATTAGATACAGGCCCTAGAAGACAACCATGTGAACAAAACCATATATTGAACCATACTGGCCCAACCGTATGAAGTTCTTCAGTGAGGTGGCACCAAGCAGACAGCTCAGGGTATGAGGAGTGTGGACCAAGGTGGGGACATGTTCTGCTTCTTTCAAAAATTTCGGCATGACTTTCATAGAGCACAAAAGCGCCTCATGTGCAGCTGGGCCACATCCAGACGTGGCAACGCCCTGCTGCCTAATGGAAGACAGAGGGCATCTCTGGCACCCTGAAGGCTCCCTCACCTCTCGTCCAGTCGATGCACTCCTTTCCCTCCAGCAAAAGCAACCACTCTTCTGCACTCCATCACTGGAGCTTACTTTCCTGCTCATAACCTGCTGCAAACATTTGTGCACGTCTGCTGGTAAAAAAGTCCTCGTTTCTCTGGGATGGAAGCTACTCAAGGGGAGGACTGCTAGATCACTGGGCAGGGATTGTCTGGCCAACTGCCTAGGAGTTTTCCCATGGGGCTGTGCTAACTTCCATTTCTACCAGCACCTGTGAAAGTTCCAATGCTCCACATCCTTACCAGCACTTGGTATCATCACTCTTTTAAAATTATTATTATTTTTAGAGACAGGGTCTTACTCTGTCACCTGAGCTGGAGTGCAGTGGTACAATCAGAGCTCACTGAAACCTCAAATTCCTGGGCTTAACTGATCCTCCTGTCTCCCAAGTAGCTAGGACTACAGGCATCGGCCGCCATACCTGGCTAATTTTTAAATTATTTTGTAGAGATGGTGTCTCGCTGTGTTGCCCAGGCTGATCTCAAACTGCTAGGCTCAAACAATCTTCCTGCCACAGCCTCCCAAAGTCTTGGGATTACAGGCACAAGCCACTTCACTTGGTCAAGGTATTTTAAGTACTCCAAATAACCAATCCTTTCTTTTATGGTTAGTGCTTTTAATGTTTTATTTACGGGATCTCTGCCTAACTCAAGGTCATATTCTCCACATTATCTTCCAGAAGCTTTATTGTCTTATTTTTTAGAGCCATAATCCACCTGGAATTAATTTTCTAAAATTGAAATATAATTCAAAAACCATAAAATTTACCTTTTCGAAGTGTAGAATTCACTGGTTTTTAAAGTATATTCACAAGGTTGTGCAGCTGTTAGCATTACCTGCTTCCAGACCACATCACCACCCCATAAAGAAATGCTTACCCATTTCCCCCACCCCACTCACCCTTTGCCAACCATTAATCTGCTTTGTTTTATGAATTTGCATTTTCTGGACATTTCATAAAAGTAAAGTACATAATATGTGGCTTTTCATGTCTGGCTTCTTGCACTTAACATGGTTTCAAGGTTCATCCACGTTGTAGCATGAATGAGTATTTTATTCCTTTTAATGGCTGAATAACAGTCCCTTGTATGGATATACCACATTTTGTTTATCTGTTCATCAGCTGATGGGCATTTGAATAGTGTTGAATGGCTATTATGAATAGTACTGCTACGAATATTTGTGTACAAGTTTTTGAGTGAACACATTTTTTCCAATTCTTTTTTTTTCTTTGAGACAGAGTCTCACTCTGTCACCCAACCTGGAGTACAGTGGTGCAATCTCACTCACTGCAACCTCTGCCTCCCAGGTTCAAGTGATTCTCCTGCCTCAGCCTCCCAGGTAGTTGGGATTACAGGCACACGCCACCATGCCCAGCTAATTTTTGTACTTTTAGTAGAAACAGGGTTTCACCATCTTGGCCAGGCTGGTCTTGAACTCCTCACCTCAGGTGATCTGCCCGCCTCAGCCTCCATAAGTGCTGGGATTACAGGTGTGAGCCACTGCGCTCAGCCTTTTTCAACTCTTTTGGGTATATATCTAGGAGTATAATTGCTGGGGCATGTGGTAACTACGTAAATGCCACAAACTCTTTTCCTAAATGGCTACACCACTTTTGCATTACCACCAGGAATGTACACATGTCCTCCTTTTACCAAATCCTCTTTGGAATTGATTTGTATACATGGTATGTGATAAAGGTCAAGATTTTTTTTTTTTTCCAATATGGATATCCAATTATCCAGCACTATTTACTGAAAAGACTCTCTTTCCCAAACTGAATTATGCCACTTTTGTCATAAATCAAATGTCTACATATGTGCGGGTCTATTTCTGAACTCAAATCTGTTCTGTCGGCCTACCTGTCCCTTGGGCCAGTGTGCACTGCTCTAATTACAATACTATTACAATAAGTCTTGATATACTGAGCTTTACCCCCTCCAGTTCTGTTGTTTAAGATTATTTCAGCTGTTGTTTTCTGTATTTTCATCTAACTTTTAAAATCAGCTTATCAGTTCTCACACACACACACCCCCCTGCTGGGATTCCACTGTATCTGTAGATTAATAGATACCGTAATTAGGATTGAATTGCATCTATACGTTAATTTTGGAATAATTTACCACTTTTTAAATTTTTATTTATTTCTTATTGGGCAACCTCCTCAGCCAAAGTAGGCTCAGAAGACTCCACATTGATTTCTTTATGAGTCTTTCGTATCAATGAACATGAGCTATCCTGCCATTTTAAAGGTCTTTGCGGATTCTGTGTCTTAATATTGTACAGTTTTCTGTGTAGAAGACTTGTACATTTTTGACAGATTTATTCCCAGGTATTTAATGTTTCCTGATGCTACTGTAAATTATGTCATTTAAGGCTGGGAGCCATGGCTCATGCCTGTAAGCAGGATTTTGGGAGGCTTAGGAGGGTGGATTGCTTAAGGCTAAGAGTTTGAGATAAGCCTGGGTGACACAGGGAGGGAGACCCTACATCTACAGGGGAAAAAAAAAAAGCCAAGCATGGTAGTACATTCCTGTAGTCTCAGCTACTTGGGAAGTTGAGGCAGGAGGACTGCTTGAGCCCAGGAGTTAAGACTGCAGTGAACTGTGATTGTGCTCACTGTTATACTCACTCCAGCCTGGGCAACAGAGCAAAAAAACAAACAAGTATTTCATTCAAGAGGTTCGTTTTTAAATTGTTTGCTGCTGGTATATAAAAATGTATTTTAGGCCAGCGCGGTGGCTCACGCCTGTGATCCCAACACTTTGGGAGACCGAGGTGGGTGGATCACGAGGTCAGGAGATCAAGACCATCCTGGCCAACACGGTGAGACCCCATCTCTAGTAAAAGACAAAAAAATTAGCCAGGCATGGTGGCGGATGCCTGTAGTCCCAGCTACTTGGGAGGCTGCGGCAGGAGAATCACTTGAACCCAGGAGGTGAAGGTTGCAGTGAGCCGAGATCACACCACTGAACTCCAGCCTGGTGACAGAGCAAGACTTCATCTCAAAACAAAACAAAACAAAAAAACAAAAAAAAAAAAAAAGAAAAAAAAAAGAAAAAAAAGAAATATATTTTAAAATACTGACCTTATAGCCAGCAACCTTGCTGAATTTATATTCCAATAGTTTATCGGTAGATCCTTTCGAATTTATCACAATTACATTTGCCATGAAAAATGAGTTTAGTTTTCTCCTTTCTAATCTGTATATATTTTGTTTCTTTTAAAAATATTTTATTTTTTGCCTTGTTGTCCTAGCCAGGACTTCAACGACAACATGGGATAGAAAGAGTGACGATGGACATTCTTGTCTTATCCCTCATCTCAAGGGAGAGAAAAGCTTTCATAGGTGACCACAGCCGTAAGACTAATTAATGACCCTGTGAATCCCACAAGATTATGTGAGAATCACAGACTAGCAAGAAGCATTATAAATATCGGCATGGGTCAGTTCCTCGTGCCCTTGCAATTGCTCAAGAGGACTCTGGGGCCCAAAGATAAATAACTCACTTTATACAGCACTCAGAAGAGAATAAAGAGCAGAAAACGTTTCCTGTCCCATATTAAAGCACAACCTAAATTTAGGATCTAGCACCCTGGCGGCACGGCAGACACGGCTGAGGTTGGACAGAATCTTAGCTTCCAATGCCACGGCTCCAGTTCAGATGGCAGCCGCTCCGTGACTCAAGGCCGCGTCTGTTTCTGTCTGTGAACACTGCTGAGTTAACTGGACTCTGTTGGTTCTGCTGCCTAAGTGAACATGCCCACAGCTTCAGGGCCCAGACATCAGGGCAAACACAGGCCGGGCTAAACCTGCACTCATGTAAGAATCCCTCAGGGGCCACACTGCCCTGCAATTCCCACCCATGACCTCCCCAGTCTGGGCCTGTCAAGATCCACACTCCCTGACTGCCCACTGGGGTCTGACTAAGTAAGCTTCAGTTCCTGCAGATGGTTTTCTCATCCACACCTCAAAATGGAAGTAAACATATGATTTGTGGTTTGTTAAAAAAAAAAATGATGGAAGTAAACACTGAATGAATTGATCTTTTTCTGAAGATATTGGCTTTAGGTCTGAGTTTATTATTAAAATATTATTTTTTTTTGCAGAGGAGATACAGTCTTCCTCTGTCACTCAGGCTTCAGTGCAGTGCCACGATCACACACTGTAACCTCCACCTCCCGGGTTCAAAGAATCCTCCAACCTCAGTCTCCTGAGCAGCTGGGATTTTAAGTGTGTACTATTACTGTGCCTAGCTAATATCTTTTTTTTTGAGAGATGGAGGTTTCGCTATGTTGCCCAAGCTGGTCTTGAACTCCTGACCTCAAGTGATCCTCCCTCATCTCAGCCTCCTGTCACTGGGATTTATTTATTTACTTACTTACTTTTTTTTTTTTAAGATGGAGTCTTACTCTGTTGCCCAGGCTGGAGTGCAGTGCCACGATCTCAGCTCACCACAACCTCCGCCTCCCAGGTTCAAGCAATTCTGTCTCAGCCTCCTGAGTAGCTGGGACTATAGGCATGTACCACCATGCCCGGCTAATTTTTGTATTTTTAATAGAGACGGGGTTTCACCATGTTGGCCAGGCTGCTCTCAAACTCCTGACCTCAAGTGATGTACCTGCCTTGGCCTCCCAACCACGCCTGGCTAATTTTTGTATGTTTAATAGAAACGGGGTTTTACCACGTTGGCCAGGCTGGTCTGGAATTCCTGACCTCAGGTGATCTGCCCGCCCTGGCCTCCTGAAGTGCTGGGGTTACAGCGTGAGCTGCCCCCATGCCCAGCCACCTTTACTTACTGGAGTGCGAGCACTAGGAAGCAGGGACCTTTCTGCGGTGCTTGCTGTGTTATACCTTGCACCCAGACCTTAGTAGGCATTCAAACAAAATTTTTAAAAATAAACTGAAGAATGACTTAAGAAACCTTCCAGGTCAGTCATCATACTGTCCCCAAACAGGGGGATCATCAATTTTATTCCTCCCAAGGAGATTTGGCCTAGACAGATACGTGTTTGATCTTCAACAAAAGCTGTCCGGCAAATGCCAACACCAAATCCATCTCACCTGTTCCGCTCCCACCATGCTAATCGGCTTGCACTTGAAGAGGTGGGTGATGAATTTGGGAATGAAGGAGCTGCGGATAAAAAAGAAGTGACAAATTAGGCTTATTCTCTCTCTCTCTCTTTTGAGACAGAGTTTCACTCTGGAGTGCAGTGGTGGGATCTCGGCTCACTGTAACCTCTGCCTCCCGAGTTCAAGTGATTCTCCTGTCTTAGCCTCCTTAGTAGCTGGGATTACAGGTGCCCACCACCATACTGGCTAATTTTTGTATTTTTAGTAGAGGTTTCACCATGTTGGCCAGGATGGTCTCGATCTCTTGATCTCGTGATCCACCTGCCTTGGCCTCCCAAAGTACTGGGATTACAGGCATCAGCTATTGCGCCCAGCCAGGCCGGGCTTCCCCGACACTCCATCCTCTGTCCCCGGCCTCATCTACTGCGCCCGGCCAGGCTTCCCTGACACTCCATCCTCTGTCCCCGGCCTCATCCACTGCGCCTGCCCGGGCTTCCCCGATGCTCCATCCTCTGTCCCCAGCCTCATCCTGCTAAGCCCTGGCCTCCCAGTGCTTCAACCCAACTGAGCCCCTTGAGGATCCCATGATTCTGCAGGCACAATGCTCTGTGCCTCCACTGTTCCCTCACCTGGAGTGCCTTTCCTAGAAGGGACTTGGGTCAGTACACACGCACCTCTCAGATCCCGTTTAACATCTCCGGAAAGCCTTTCTTCTGTTGCCTTCGTCGTACTCTACATGGAGTCCACAGGCCTCTATCCTAACAGCTAACCCACTTCATTACACTTACTTATGTGTCTATTTCGCTTCACCTGGCTATTACGGCATATGAAGATGGGGCCATGTTTACCAAGCCAAAGCACTGAACTCCGGGTCTGAGACACAGGAGATGCTCAGGTAAATGTACATTGAAGAAATCGGCTGTTTTTTTTAGACAGAGTCTCACTCTGTCGCCCAGGCTGGAATGCAGTAGTGCAATCTTGGCTCACTGCAACCTCTGCCTCCCGGGTTCAAGCGATTCTCATGCCTCAGCCTCCTGAGTAGCTGGGATTATAGGCGTGTGGATACTTCACACCTGGCTAACTTTTATATTTTTTTATTTTTATATTTTTAAATTTTCAGTAGAGCCTGTTGGCCAGGCTGGTCTCAAACTCCTGGCCTCAAGTGATCCGCTCATCTCGGCCCCACAAAGAGCCATGGCACCTGGCCATCTTCCACTGTTTGAATGTCAGCTTGGTATCAGCACTTTACCAGGAAGTTACTCTGTGACTTCTCCTTTCATCCTCCCAAGCACTATTATGAGAGCTGTCTGAATGGAGGAGAATCGGCCCAGTGGGTGAGGAAAGTTGCTTGTGGTTCAACTGCAGCTTCACCAGGCTGTGGACTCCAATGTCTCAATAGGAAAGGCGGCTGTTGCTCAAGACAGTAAACAGAGGTAAAAGGAAACAACTATGGGTTTGCATTGGTGGGGTAGAAAGGAAGTTACAGGAAAGGAAATTGGGGTCCAGAGATCAGATCTGCGAGATGGCTTGCTGATCAGGAAGGAGAGCAAACAAGGACCTATTTGGAAGAGATTCTTTACTGCTGTAAACCAGAGCCAGGCAGGTAATGTGAGACTGAATCCATGACCAATTGCAACTGTCTGGTAACCTAAGTTGTTTCACATTAGAATGAGCTTTGGGCTGGGCACAGTGGCTCATGTCTATAATCCCAGCACTTTGAGAGGCCGAGGCAGGAGGACTGCTGGAGCCCAGGTGTTTGAGACCAGCCTGGTCCTACCATGATGAAATCTCATCTCTACAAAAAATACAAAAATTAGCTAGGTGTGGTGGCGTGTGCCTATAATCCTGCTATTTAGGAGGCTGAGGTGGGAGAATCACCTAAGCCCAGGAGACTGGGGCTGCAGTGAACTGGGACTGCACCACTGCACTCCAGCCTTGGTAACAGAGTGAGACCCTCTATCAAAAATAAATAAATAAATAACAATAATAATAAAAGACAGCTTTGGCTGTGCCCTTGAACTGGCTCTCTCTGTACCAGTCTACAGGCAGGGGTGGGGGGAATAAAAGGAGCAGACACACATCCTTTGAGGGGAAGACCAAGCAATGTGTTGGGTAACCACCAAGGGCTCTTCTGCCATCAGGGGGGTGGTGGCTGTTGCCCTTGGCTAGGGAAGGGTCTCCTCACAACGCCCACCTCTGTTAAGCAGGATTTTACAGGAATGAGAAGGCACCATGGATGAAAACGCGACACCACTTTCTAGATCTCAGGCTGAGCGACTCCAGATGAGAGGATGGGCATCCAATCCCCAGTGCACTCAACCTGGACTTAGACATGGAATTCAAGGTCTCTGAGAGAATGTGAGGCTGCTGCTGGGAGGTGCTGGGAAGGGCTAAGTCAGTGGGCTCCATATTCACTTTAACAAAAGCTCAATCAGACCCCTGAGCAGCCAGCCTGGAAATTTTCAGTCACAGCACATTTTTACAGAGGCGCTGCCTCTACCAGCAGTTATGGGGAGTGTCATAGTGTGATTTATCAACAGTGCTTTTAACACACTAATGAGCATCCGGGAGGGAGAGAATTTCAACTCCTGGTCCATCTGCCCTACTGCAAACAGGAATGCCTCCCTGCAGAGTCCACTCTATCCTTTCTTGACAAACTAGAGAGTAACGCTGACACCACAAGCCGCTCCATAATTGCTAGTCCTGAGGGGATTGTTTGTGAAGTAGATTTGGGGAAGGCAGAAATGGAGTCCCGACTCACCATCTAGGGCCTGGATGAGAACCCAAATACAGTAGCTTGGATTGGGCTGACCCTCCTGAAGCCCTTCCCGGAGAAGTTTGCCAAAATGCCTGCTTAATGACTGGTCAGGGGAGACGCTGACCCTCGACACTGCCTGCTATCACAGGAAATGGGCTACAGCCAGGTGGCAATCGGCAGAGGACCAAACTATTTCCCTCGCCTCAAAACTCAGACCAGAAATGGCCACACACGAGGACACAGCAGGAAGACACTGGCTCAGGTGCACTCCACCCACCTTGGCCACGGCAGGAAGACACTGGCTCAGGTGCACTCCACCCACCTTGGCCACGGCAGGAAGACACTGGCTCAGGTGCACTCCACCCACCTTGGCCACGGCAGGAAGACACTGGCTCAGATGCACTCCACCCACCTTGGCCATGGCAGGAAGACACTGGCTCAGGTGCACTCCACCCACCTTGGCCATAGAGCTCCGTGACTTGCTCGTCCCAATTTCTAGTACCTTCCTTGGACCAAGCACATGTACAACTATTGATAGATAAATTCTAGCAGCCATGATAAAAAGTACCAGGGGAGGGAGGACAAGAAGGCTGGAAAGAAACATAACTGATGGCTCCTACCCTTGAAAGGCTTATAAGCCAGCCAGAGACAAAATGCATCTATGAAATCCCTGAAAAGGCATTGTAATTATCCAAACTTGGGGAAGGGGGGTGACGCCTGCACATTTCACACAGTAGGCCCCATTCATTTCCGTGTGCCATGACCTGGCTGGGGGCTGCACTGCTGTTACTGTTGCCTATGACTTTATTGGAAGATTTGGTTTTATTATGATGCTTCTTTTGCATACAAATTAAAATCAGTACTACAGGCACCAGAATGAACCCCAGCTGGATGCTTGGGACACCCAAACTGTGGGGATGCTGGCAGGAACTATGGTTTTAAAAACAATGCAACTGAGTGTGACACTGGAGTGGTGGCCCCATGTCACCCTGTGTTTGTCCAAACCCACAGAGTGTACAGCACCAAGAATGACCCCGGTAAACCATGGAGTCTGGTGACAATGACATGTCAGTAAAGGCTTATCAGCTGTAACACGTTGTGTGTGTGTGTGTGTGTGTGTGTGTGAGGGGTATCAGTAATGCAAGACTGTGTGTGTGTGTGGGGTCGGGCACTGCTGTGTGTGTGTGTGTGTGTCTGTGTGTGTGTGTCGGTAATGGAAGACTGTGCATGTGTGCGGTTGGGTACTGCTGTGTGTGTGTGTGTGTTTGTGTGAGGGTATCGGTAATGCAAGACTGTACATGTGTGGGGTCAGGCACCGCTTTGTGTGTGTGTAATGGAAGACTGTGCATGTGTAGGGTTGGGTACCCCTTTGTGTGTGTGTGTGGGGGGGCGGTATCGGTAATGGAAGACTGTGCACGTGTGGGGTCGGGCACTGCTGTGTGTGTGTGTGTGTGTGTGTGTGTGTGTGTGTGTGTGTGTG